CAACTTTCTAACACATTTACACTTCCAAACTCTAACGTATTTTTACAGTCAAGAATCCATTGAAGTTTGCTTCATACAAGTATTAAAACAAATAACTACAAGAATGAAAAATATATATGTTTCTTATCAATAAATTCACATTAGAAAGTAAGACCTACGTGCTCCGCCCTTGACTAGTTATTAATCCATTATATAATAAATTACCCAATTTAACAAGAAATTATCAAGTCATCGACAAAGCCCTTTATATATATATATATATATATATAAATAAAATTCAATATTTCACTGGATTAACAATAATAATCCACGATATCCATCTACTTATGCCTTAGTGCCTTATACACGAAGATTTTAGGTCTTCTTCAATAAACTAACAATGTGTTTTGATTTATTAGGTTGGACCCTATTATATTTTATTATGGTTTATTTTGTGATTGGGCATGTTTATGGTTCGTGGGCTTGCTCATATTTAAGATTTGACCTTTGTAAATTTTATAACTCTTTTTATTTATAGAAATACTATGGATTGGGCTGGGCTGATAGAAAGAGGAATAGTAATACACGGACTTATAGGAAAAATAATACTAAATTTTTTTTTCAATTGGACTTGGATTATAGCCCAGGTTAGTCCATTACTAGTTCCTCCCTTGATTAGAGGTAGTTATTGGTATTGGTGTTTGCAGCAATAAGAACAGAGCGTATGAAAATTGAGCGGCCATTTGGCTTATTGCACCCAAGTGATCAATTTTAGGTAGGCAATAATTACGAGTTATTAGTAAATATAATGATCTTTGTTGGGTTCACTTTTTTATGGTGCTTTTGTTTATTGGGTTTGTGATGACCGTGCAAGTTTCATATATTTTGGTTTATGTGGATGTTGCGATCATTTTTATGGTGCAATCACTTACTTTGATTTCTCTCTTCCACCAAACTTGATTTCCATGGCTGGTGATGGGTAATTGGAGATTGAACTTGGATAGGAAGTCCAAGCAGCCTTTGTAAAGAACGTATTTGGTAAGAAAATTAATTACTGTACTGTAGAAGTAACTCAAACTAGTGAACTGTGACGATGATTTTGGCTTTGTGGAAATCATGTTTAATATTATGGAAAATAGGAGAGAGAGAACCAAGAAAAGATCAACAATACTGCTGTGTAGGGGAAGAAATTAAAAAGTTTTGGGGATCAATTAGGACATTTTTGTCCTTTAAATCTGCTGATTTTTTTTTAAAAAATTAAAGTGGATTAAAAAATTGAGGGTAAAATTGTCATTTCGAACCTTTTTAACAGTAAAAGTGACGGAAAAGTGATTTGGGGTCTAAGTGATAGTAATTTTCGAAAGGTATTTGCATGTGAAATTTGACCAAACCTCATGGAGTGTCATTGAAAATAACTTATTTTATTTTATTTTTTAAAAATCCAAACGGAAGTAATCTAATGTAGAAATTAAGGGTTTGACAACCATAATTGCTTTGTACTTTTACTTTGACCCGAATATTTTTGCTTCAGAGTGTATTCAACACTATTTCAAAACTTGTTTGATAACGTAAATTTGTTACAAGATTTTTAGAAGCAAAAACATGAAAGTATGTTTGGTAAAAGTGTTGCAAGTTTGAAAATTTGAATGGATAGTTAAAATTATTATTTTAGGAATTTTTTTTTTTTTTAACAGTGCTTTGTTATAGTGCGGAAGCAAATAAAAGCATCATTATGATGCTTTTGATTTTGGCCTTAATTTTAGAGGCGTTTTGATACTATTCAAATGACAACAAATATTATTAAATATGTTTCGTATTTTTTTTTGCTATAATACACAGTCAAAAACAAAAAACAAAGTAAAAATATTAGACAAACAGGCATGGGCGAATCAATTAGAAACATTAATTAACAAATAATATATTCTAGAATGAGACTGGAATAAAAGAAAAAGACCCTAGGTCAGTCAAGAAGCTCTCTCTAGGCTACGGAGAAACATATTTAAATTTATCACGCTTTTTTTATTTTTATTTATTTATTTTTGGACTTTTTCCATTTTTCTATTTGGTCATAACTTCCAAGTGATTTTCCATAGAAGGAGACAAGAATGGCTTCGATGACAAAGTCAGTTTTTATAAAGCTAGGAAAATGCTAAATTTCTATTTTTTAAAAAATAAAAATAAAATAAATAAAAAATTGGATGTTTTTATGGTAAAATTCGAAAATTTGTTCCATGTTCCTACGTTGGAATCATTTTTTCTTATCCTCACTCATTATAACTCTCCTTGTTAGATAATAATAATAATAATAATTTAATAATTTAAATTAATCACTTTATTATAAAATGTTAACTGCACTTTATTTATCACGTTTGATCCATCAATTAAATACAAAAAATTAATAAGAGTCTAAAAACGAATTTGGACGGAATGTAGTGCTTCAGAAAGGTAGTGAAACTGCACTCTATATTTTTCTCAGGAACAGGTAAAGGCAGCTATCAAAGTTAGTCAAAAGGTGACACTTTTTCTATGGATCGGGAATTATTAGCGGGTTGAAAAGTTTTACACACACATGTAATATCACGATTCATGGATTAATAATATAATACCAAAATGTGGAGCTGAAATTATAAAAATCTGCTTTATTGCTATATATTAAAAAGAACTCAAATGTGTAGAGTTATTTGATATTACATAAAAATGAATCACACAAAATTAATTCTATATCACCATCTAATATAACAAAACTGCCACAATGGACAACAAGGTTACTGGCAAGGGGGCCACGGCGAATGATGGCGCCGAGCTGCTAGGCGGCGGTGGAGGTGGAGGAGACATGGAGCCTGATGGCGGCGGGGCAGTTGTGGGAGGAGGTGTAGCGGGGGTACTGGGTGATGGTGGGGAGGCAGTGGGAGACGGAGGAGAGGCAGTGGGAGATGGTGGGGAGGCGGTGGGGGTGGGTGATGGTGGGGAGGCGGTGGGAGACGGAGGGGACGCTGTGGGGGATGGTGGGGAGGCAGTGGGAGACGGAGGAGAGGCAGTGGGAGATGGTGGGGAGGCGGTGGGGGTGGGAGATGGTGGGGAGGCGGTGGGGGTGGGGGAAGGAGAGGCTGCGGCGGCGGTGACGTTGATGGCGAGCTTTTGGCCCAAAGAGCAATGTTGGGGGAAGGTGCATAAGAAAAAGTATTCGCCGGCGGCGCTGAGATTGATTCTGGCCGGACTGGTGGTTGTGAGGGTGGTGGTGTTGGTGGTGTTGCATGATTCATATGCTGCCTTTGTCACTCGAGCCACGTCGTGCGTTCCATTTATAAAGTTAAAGACTGCATAAACACATAAAAATTAGATTTAAAAAAAAAATCCACAATTTTCACACACACACATATATATATATATATTTACACAGGCATACTTTTATTTATCACAAATAACTTTAGAAATTTTATATATGTATGTATATCCATAATTCTATCTAGAAAACTAGAGTGGCTTGGTTAGGTTTTTAAAACTAAATATATATATATAGAAATATATTTGAAAAGTGTTATACGAAAAAGAAAATATTTTCAACGGAAACAAACCGATTTTGAATTCTGAAAAATAAAACTACTTTTGGAAAATTGAAGGAAGCACAGACCGACGCTATGAAATTAAGTATATATGGATGATGTATGTATTTAATTACCGAGAACATCGCCGACGACGAAGGTCTGATTGGCAGCCCAAGCAGAGTAGACGTTGGCACCACTGGGTACGATCCAACCTATTTGTTGGCCAACAACATGTTCAGTCAGTGCTGCCGAGCTCTGTAGCATAGCCGCTACTGCAATGGCCATCAAAACAACCATGTTCAATTTTCCACTTGCCATTGCTGCTGTCTTAATGTTGTGTGTGTTCTTTGATCGCCCCTGCTAACTCTTTCTATTTTGGTTGGTAAATAAATGTTTGTGAGAATATTGAGGGTTGTGTAGTGTATAGAGTGATATTTATAGAGACAAAGGTTGTTGGGTTAGTAGTGGAGGATTGTACCGTTGGATGGAGGCCACGCGTATAATGAGATCTAGGTTTGAAGATGAGGTCTGAGGTGACATCAATTCACGACCGTTTCGTGGAGTGGGCTTATTGGGCCACTACACATTCATTGCCGTGTTTTGGACTTCCAGAATTTTAGAAGCCGCGTAAAACACATATTTACCAACCGAACCAGACTTTTGAGGGCGTTGACTAGTCTTTCTTTGGCGTAGTAGACTTTAGTAGTAGTATCTTCTTCTTTTCTGAATAGTCGTCGGTTCGTGTTTTTTTTTTTTTTTAAAAAGAAAAAGAATAGTCGGTTCATGGGCTGCGCCAAAATATCTAATTGGTTCGGTCCGAGTCCGGACTTCGGGGCAGATTTGGTCCACATCGCATTATTAAATAAAATGTTGACATAGTCGTGATACATATGTGCTTGGTCTCTTTATTTGTTGTTTGGCTTTGCAGCTGCTATGTTCTTTCACACTTGTTTCTTTGACAATCGGTGTTATCTTGGCCTATATGCCGCCATTGTATTAATATTTGATTATCTCTCATAAATTTATTTTCTTTTAATTAACTCGTTGAATGAAATTACTCCTCTTTTTACATGATTTATAAGGGTTTTAATTATATGTACATGGAGTTATTGTTTGGGCATGATAAGAAGAAACTACACGTGTTTACCAAAAACACTAAAATACCCAATGTCATTATTTGTTGCAATAAATATATCATTACGAAAGTTCCGGGGAAAAAATTGAAATGGTGTCACATGTTATTGTTTCACACGTTTAAGCGCAATAGAAGGGGTAGGGAGTTGGTGAAACAGAGACAGGCCAAGTCAAAATGGCACCAATTGATACAATACTGTGAAAAACTCTCTCTATTGGATCAAAATTACAAGCATTTCAAACTCTCTGTCAACTAATTTGGAAAACAGAAAGCGTGATCATTTTTTTTTGGTTATTTATTAATCAATCGATGCCTAATAATAGAGAATTCTCATTCTGCCGGATTAAATTACAAGCATTTCAAACCTTTTTTTTTTGCCTTAAATGTCTCCATTAATAAACTATAAAAGTCATTTTTCTATAAGTAATTAGATAATTTGAAAATATTTTATTTTAAAATAAAAATAAGAAGGTAATTAGATGACTTTATGAATATTAATATAAAATTATACGGCTTAAAGGGAACCATCCCTCCCTTAACTCAATATATATGCCAATATGGTTTGGAAGTTAACTGTTGGGTTCTACCATTTTGTGCTGAAATATTCACGAGTACTATGCACAGAGGGAGAAATTAATTAACATGATCTTCTGATAATTAAAACAGGTTTTTTTTTTTTCAAACACAAATCAAGGAGGGAGAAAAAAAGAGAGAGGAGAAAGTTGTAATCACGTGAGCTCGTTTTTTCAACTAAGAGGCTTAATTTTGTGGAACTGAGTCTTTTTTTGGGTCACTAAGTTTTGTTGTGAGTATCTACTTATTTTCTTTTCCAGAGAAGACTTTAATTATAATCTTAATAAATTACGCAACCTTCCATGTCAATTCCATTTGATTTAACAAAGTGGTGCTTATGTCTTTACTAGTACAGGTTCCATCCTATATACTATTCAGCAGGGAACATGCATATTATAACCATTATACATACATACATACATATGCATATAATTACATACATTCAATGATAAGAAATGAAGCGTAAACAATATCTGTAGTTCATCCATTCTAGATGGCGTAAGGAGGACTCAAGTGATCTGTATAGTCAAAATTCAAAGGGTAATAATAATATCCGAAATCTAGCTGTATTGATAACTTGGTCAAGATTGACAACTACAAGTATTAACAATGAATATTTTATTCAAAAAAAAAAAAAAAAAAAACCAATGAAAAGTATGGATGAAGTAGCATGCTCCCTCCCAAAGCTTGCGTGTAAAGATCAAGTGAGATTTAATCACATAACATCATTTTTCAGCGTAAAAAAGACATTTAAACCAACTAATTAATGAATTATGTTTAACAAGTTTCATTTACTTTTGTGATTTGAAGGTGTACTTCCATCTTGTTATAAGGAATATTATTTGAATTCAATCTGCTAACTGTGTTTCCAATCTTTACATGACTATTTTTAAAATACTGAAAACAATATCAAATTTTAGAATTATAAATCAAGCATTACATGACTATTCTTAAAGTAAATAATATAAAACCTTAAAGTTACAAATCAAATATTACATGATTATTCTTAAAGTACTGAAAATAATATAAAATCTCACAGTTACAAATCAAACATTATATAACTACTCTTAAAATATTGAAAACAACATAAAACCTCAAATTTACATATCAAATGGACCCATATGTCTAACTTGACCTTGACAAAGAACGTATTATTAAGGCACGACTAGCCCTTTGTGAAATGTAGCAAAATGTCAATTTATTTCCTTATTACTTAATTAAATAAAGCATATGACCTTCGATCACAAAAAAATGTAAACAATTGTAATTATGAAAGAATTTGAATTGCATGTGGAGACAAAAACAAAAGGACATGAAACAATTTTCAAACATTAACGGGAAAGTCCACTAAGCTTTTGAAAATGCTTATAACAAACAAACAAAATATTCCAGTCTGAAAAAATGATAAAGGGTTCTCATGCTATAATGGATCATGGATGAAATAAACTGCTTTACTTAAATCTGAATACAAATATCAATCTATATATAATGTGCCCTTCCAGTACAAGTATAAACATAAAAGATAATAAAAAAGAAAAAGAAAAAGAAAAAGAGGCATAAATAAATTGTTCATAAAGTGGACAGTGTATGTAATAGTGAAGACAAGTCTGTTTAGTAAAAAACTAAGACAAGAAAGCTACAGTAATGGACATGAAGATGATGAGAGAGAAGGTGGCAATGGCTGTAGGTGGTGCAGAGCTGGGTGGTGGAGGAGGAGGAGGAGGAGGAGGCTGAGCGTCGTTGCCTGATGGAGATTCAGCACGGGAAGTCACATTGATGCTTAACTTCTGTCCTCCCATCGCACAGTGGTTGCTTGTGGTGCAAATGAAGTAGTTTTCACCGGTGGCGTTAAGAGTGAAGTTCGCTGGACCATTGGTTTCAATAGAGAGAGGATTTGTGATGTTGCAAGCATCGAATGCCTCCTTTGTAACTTTGGCCGCGGTGTGTTGCCCGGTGGTGAAGTTGAACACTGCAAAATTAATTAATATATACTAGGGATCAATTCGATCATCAACAATATAATTAAAGGAAAATCAAACTGGATTCTTCAACTATGGGAAGATTTCTTGTAGATTAATCTTGCTATTATGCGTTGATGATGGAACATTCCAAAATTCAGCATGATATGGAATACTTGACATTTTGAGTAAAAAATATACATATATATGTATGTGTGTGTGTGTGTGTGTGTGTTATGTAAAGAAGTCTCTAATTACCTAGAATGTCCCCTAGTTCAAAGGTATATTGGGAAGACCAGTTGGTGAAGGCCACAGCGCCACCGGGAGGGACCTGCCAACCCAAGCTGTCTCCCACATAGTATGTGTCTGCTGTACCTGCGTTCTGTATCAGTATTGCAGTTGCTACTGCAACCACCAAAAGTGTTACTAAATTGTTTCTTGTAGACATCTCCCTTTTGATTGTGTATGTGTATGTGTATGTGCATGTGTATGTGTGTGTGTGTTCACTGGGTGGTCACCCCTTTACTCTGCAATCTGCACACATTACAAATATAGATACATGTATATATAGATGGATGGGTAAATATTGTGAGTCTTGAGGTCTTGAAGACCTTGTGGTTCTGTTGATATACGGAGAGAGGCTTAACTACTCCTTTGAAAGTCATTTGTGGGCTTTCATGAATGGCAGCCACGCGGATTTTGGCGGTAATTTTCTGTTATGGCAGTTGTAAAGTTATGTCAGAATCAGAAAGGGGTAAAAAAAAAAAAAAGGTCATTGTACAGGTGGGGGGGTTGTCCCTACCTCAAATTATAAAAAACAAGAGTGCCAATAACACCACTCCCAAATGATGACGCTACTTACCAGTTAATTAAACAGGGTTTTATTTGAATAAATGAATAAATGGGTGGACAATTTGAGAGTAAAAACTTTTTGAGGAAGAGAAAACATATATAGAGGAAGAATTTCATTTATTTCTGTACAAGGTATATGCATATACATCCAAGTATTATACACAAAATTGCAATAAGAGGAATAATTAAAAATTCCAGCCAAAAATAAACAATTCAAGTTCCTTTCAGTCTCATGAATCTTCGCACCTCCTAGTCAATAATCAAATGATGACATTAGCATGAAAATACTGAATCAAATTAGCTAGCATCCATAACTCATGCAAAAGTCACAATGTGGTTGCAAAACAAGTTTTTTCAGAGGGTCAAAGGAAATAAAAAAGAGAAAAGATAGAAAATCTGAACATTTCAAATGTGACATTGGTATATCTAGAAATATTGAATCAAGTTCCTTGTCAGCTTTTGAGTCATTGTCCGAGTTAACCCTGTCCGGCAACGAGTTCCTAAATCTCTTGTTGGATAAAGGATAAATATAGCATCAAATTGGTCAGTTTCCCTACAAAACTTGAAGTAAATTCATGCCATTATAATAATACCCCAAAGGTCACAACGCCTTCACCAGCCCTCTCTGTTGAGGCACAACTGGTGAAGATATAGGGAATGCTTGAAAGAAGTGAGCTAAATCTAGGATATGCTACCATATAACATGAATTGTGAAACGAATGTAGCACTAAGACACGGAAAACTAATGCAAGCTCACATGAACCTCAAATGAGGACATGCTATTTATAATCATAAAGAAAGATTTATTAGTTACAAAATCAATATCCATTGCTGATTTATTTCAGCAATGACTAACACTTTTTCCTAGTAATAACAAGAATCGTTGATGCACTTATGCTGGACTAAAATATGAGATCAAATGGGTACCAAACCGAAAATATTGATAGCTTCTGAATGCTAATCTGGTATCGAATACAATAGGGGAGTGCCCCAGAACTTGTTTTTTCACAATCTTGGGAACAGAAACAGCAGTAATGTAGAGGCAGTTAATACCAAGGAGTAGAACCCAGGCCAACCGTGAGCTTGAATATCCTGTCATATGGCAAAATAGCAGATAAGAATAAATAAATGGCCAATCGTGTCATAGCTCATCAAATAGTGCCACGAATGAGGGCATGAGTAAATAGACATATAAAACACATTCTTGTCTTTATTTTAACTTTTTTTGTATTTTTAAACCCAAAACTAGTTGAGAAAAATACAATGTGGGGTCGTGGGAAGACTATATAAAGACTAGTTAAAAATTATCACTTCCCGGCCCCCAACTCAAAAAAGGAAAAAATGTTAAATATTGGATTTGGAACTGTATCACAGGCATGCACATGCACTGACAGTTTATGGACCATAAAAAATATGATGCACAAAAGAAGAATGTAGATATCTTAGGATGGGAGTAGGAGTCTATCTTAACTGATACTTGATTGATATCTTGGACAAGGATTATGTGAAACAATGTTAGTATTTCTACAAGGCCCAATCTAGAATCTGTAGAATTCACAAGTTTTCTAAGTAATAGCAACGGAAATTTTCTCAACTGTTTACTGATTGTGATACCCTAATCAAACAACTTGATAAGGTTGACGAACAAAACACACTCAACCTTGTCGCCTTTGAGAGAATATTGCTCCTTAGTACCTAGTTGCCACCACTGCAAACACATTTGTCCCCCTGTGCCCCTTTACCTTTTATGACATTAAGTTGCATGCTATATCATAAAGTAAACAAGAATTTATTTGCTATCAGCAATGCTGTGGTTATCATTTACCCGTTTTTGAGACTTGGCCATTCTAAAATTTAATTACCCTCTCATGACTCAATGTGTTCTGGTGCTCTAAAACCATGCACATCAGTGTACTATCAATAAGTAAATGTGAAATGTAGAAACTATTCCATATTCAAAATAAATAAAAAATGACGCATATGTAACCTATTCATGACAAAATATTCCGCAAATATAAATTCATTAACTCGAAAAAAAAAAAGTTCATGTTGCAAGAGAACTAAAGCAATAGATAGACATCCTTGTTCTCATTCTTTTGATCCTATCGGCTATGTTACATGGGACTCTTTATGTGGTATTGTCGTGTCGGATATGACACCTAAGCATGGATATCCTATATGTGTCCAATGTGCCCTAGCACCCATAAGCAATAACTCACATTCATTATATAACTGCGTATAAAACTGTCCCTTTTATTGCGTTATTGCCTCAAAAAAAGTGAATTCTCACGCTGAACGCCATCATTTTACCTTGGGAAATAAAAGAAGACTAAAAAATACAGATATTTAGACACTTCCTTATATTATTCAGTTTGCGTATTACCCTAAATAAATTCAATGCTTACATACCTACACATGATGCTTTAAATGTGAATATTTCGCATAGAAAATTTCAGTTCTTTGGGTAAGCTGTGAATATTTTCCTTGGGAGGTAAATCTATACACCACCTGCAATATCTATAAAAAAAACAAAGATCCACAACTGCGCCCTTGTCTTGTGTGTTTAGAAAAAGCACATAGTCTATGGATTCTGAAACTCTCCTTTAACTAAAAAACAGACAAATAACAAAAGCCTATGCTTTTGTGAGTCAATCCAATATGTGAGTTTATAGGGGCTTCATTCCTTGATTTGTGGATACTTTGCTTTTGTCTAGGACGTAATTTTTATATCCTTTTTCCTTTGCACACTTCCTTATGCATTGGAGTCACCACTGTATTAGTGCCTACATGTCTTCAACATTTTTTTAAAGCCCACCCATATAATAGTCTATTTTCCCCCTGAAAATATTGCAAAGGGTAAAAGAGAAAAAGAAAATCCAAATTTAGCAACTAAAACGTGATATTTCAAAAGCCTAATGAACCTCGTACCTTTATTGACAGAAGAGACGAGACTGCAGATGATGATTTCAGTCCAGAAAACCCAATATCATATGAGATGCTCCCATCAGCTTTAAACAGTCCATAGTTCTTTTCAGAACCGGCACCATTCTTCAAATTCTCATTAAAAATTGCAAAAACATATGCCTTCAACATAATATTTGGCCTTAGTGGGGTTCCCTTCCTCTTGGCAAGCCTTTTACGCAGGTTATAATTGTATGTCCTCGCATTATTAACTGTTGCTGCAGCTTCACTTTCATCTCCGTGAGAAGCCCAACCTGTCTCTGTAACTATAACTTCCATCTTTTTATATCCAGCATCTTCCAAAGCGGCATAGGCCGCATCAATCTGAGCATCAAGCATGTTATCATAATGCAGACCAGTTTTCTGATCATGTATTCCTTTGTTTGACTGGAAAAGTGCATAATTTATATCAATTTCATCTGGATTATACGTATAAGCCAAAAATGGGTAAGCATTCAAACAGAAAGGGGATCCAATCTGTGAGAAGAACTCCAAGAGTGGCTTCATGTATTGAACAACATTATCTTTGAAAATACATGAGGAGGGAGGGTATGAATTATCAAAAACAGCCTGTGAATGTGCAGTGGAAATCTGAATAACTTCAGTTAGCTGAAGCTTTTTTGTGGCATTATAAATATTTTTTGCCGCACCCAACAAAGCTTCCCAGTTTCCTTGGTCACCTCCTCCTAGAACTTCATTTCCGATAGCTATCCCACGTATGTGTGTATTGGGAAGGAATGCCTGCACATTTTCTTTGACCCAAGCCAGGGCATGATCTGCATTAGCACTCATGTTCCTCAGGTTTCCATTTGGAAGTCCGACCACTAATTCAAGCCCAGTACCACTAAATGCATTGAGGACACTATGATCAGCATCATAAATTCGAACATTCTTTATCTTTGCTGCTCTGAGGAGTGTAGCCACTTTATCAGGAGAAGGGATGTTATCCGCAATTCTTCCATAATTTATTCCATAAGTTCCAGTGAATGCGTGCACTGTCAGAGGGTGGAGAGGGAGCAAAAGTGACTTAATTAGCCATCGCGTCATTTCATTCACAAGATAGGCATGACAAGTACAAGCTGTGCTTGCATATGATATTTAACTATTATCAGCATTAGATTTCTCCAACAAACCACAAAATGTTGGGATACAAACTTGTTGAGATATTGAGTGGTACTACTGTATTGCTAGATTTTAGGAAGTGAATTTCATGACATAACTTTTTTCCTCAAGAAATACCAGTTTCAAATTCCTATGATATTCTAGCAAGCCATTAGTATCGTATATTCTATTGAATCATGCACTTAAGCTCAATGAACATGGAGAAAATTTAACCTCATTGCTCAATATAAGTAAATTAAGAGAACCCCACAAGTGTTTATATATTATAGACTACATCATACGCAGCCCAGAAAAAATAAACATATCAATCAATAAATAATTAAAAAGGAACACATCAACCATTACATTAAACTGGTGCAAGAAAGGTTGCTAATTGATTTTAGATAATACAATATATATATATATATATATATATATATATATATATATATATATATATATATATAATAAACTTAATAATTCAACTAAATTTTGCAAATTGCTCAACCCAAAGACAGGCTTGAAGGGTGAATTAATATGAATTACGAAGGCTCCATGACAATCCCCTCAATTTACCAAATCATATAATCAATATTCACAAAATTAGAAACAAATAATCCCATATCATCAATAATATCAAGCAAAGATTTGGTGATAAAGTCTTTCTATTAGGACAGAGATTGTACCCTGAAAAAATAGCAAATTTCAATAAAATTCTAAATTAACGCTCCAAATGCATCAAGAAAGATCATTATAACCCAAAAATTTTAAATCAACATATCAATCTCCTTTCCAATCCATTTAAAGAAATAGACATATAAACACCCAGAATAGCAATTAAAGATCCAAAGCATCCAAATTGACAAGTTATGAGATAAACCCAAGTTGATAGAAGTTAGAAAACATATATCCTCTCGATCAAATCAAATTATAATGAATTAAATTGACAGTAAAAGTCAAATTGAAAAACAAGAACAAGAAAGTACCGTTTGGAGTGAAGAAGAAAGCAAGAAGGAGAAGGAAACGGACGAAGAAACGAGAAAAAACTGCCATTGCGTTGTCAAACTCGGTACAGTTATTCCGGTATAATGTCTAATTGGATCACTTGGACATGCCATATGACGAATTAGCAATACCCTTTACTTTCTCTCTCTAAAGTATAGAGAACTGTTCTTCTGTCCATCTGGTGATACGTTTTTCTATCTTTCTCTCACTAGACTGTTCTTCTCTCTCTAGAAGGCTGCGGATTGAATTGTGGGCCAGTGGCGGCGGCCGGATTGGGCGGTGGCTAGGCAAAATCCGGGGAGTGGTCTTTCTCTTGAGAGCGTGTTGATATTTGGGAGGACTTTTACCAGGGTAGAGGAAATAGGAATTTTATTAGAGTTTTATTTAATCTTTTTGGGAGAGTGACTTTTACTATTAGAGTTGCAAAACTAAAATTGGTAATTTTTTTTTTTTTTTTTTAATTTTCTTTTCTTACACTTTACTATAATTAATAAATAAAAAAATAAAAACTTCATTTCTTTAATCCTTATTTTTTATTTTAAGAGGTTTAAAATATGTGTAAAGATAATACTCTGTAACAAATTATTTTATATTTGTGACCAAATAAAAAAAAAAAAAAATGGACTTCCTTCCACTAAAGCCGTCCAAAGTAGTAGTAGTACGAGAGGTCTGGGTAAAGTAGTAGTATTGTGTAGACTTTGTAAAAGACCTTAATACCCCTTAAACACGTAAAAAAAAAATGGTTGAAGACAATATCAGAAAATCCAGCGATCTTATCCTTATGTAGTTCCAAACTGCCAATACCTCTGCTTCTCTTCCACCAAACAGAGAAAAGAAAAGAAAAGAAAAGAAAAGAAAAAGAATGGCAACAGTCTTCTTCTCAACTGCAAACACTTCTCTTCTTCTATCACCATTATCATCATCATCTTCTTCTTCTTCTCTAACAACATCAAGTTACTTAAACAAACACAATGTAAGGACACAATTAAGTGTGTGCAAGGCAGTGGGCGGTGAGTCACTGCCTTCTTCTCCTCCAATTCTGACAAAAAGAAGCCTTTTCACCACCGCATTCCTCTTCTCCTTTGCCGGAAAAGGCTACTCTTATTCCAATGCAGCCATTCTAGAGGCCGACGATGACGAAGAGCTAATGGAAAAGGTGAAGAAGGACAGGAAGAAGAGGATTGAAAGACAAGGTGTCATCAGCTCATCCAAAAAGGAGAAAGGTTAGGTTCTTAAATATACATATACATATACAATTTACAAATATATATCGTAGATATCCCACGAAGTGCATAATATAAATGTACCCACTGACGAATTTATCTGAGTTTCGGTTTAATTTCAAAGTGTCTTTGTGTGTTTTGCTGCAATTTGAGTCATTTGGTCAGCACCAAATTAATTAAAATGATGCTTTATGGTAATGAATTTTATTTTCTAGGCCTAATCAATTCAATTCCTCTTCTTGATGATGGGATTATTTGGGGATGGGATTTGACCCAAGTGGGACTTTTTGAGTTCAGTTTTAGATTTTTCCTTTGGGGTTCTTGCCATTGTGTGCGTGCGTGTGTCTATATATATATATATATATATATATATATATATATTTATGAATGGGATTGGTATTTCATTTCAGAAGATATAGCAATTCAATAAAGTGAGAAAGAAGGGCATACCCTTGTGAAAACATAAACAAATACAATTGAAAACATCCATTTCCAATAGGATGCGAACAATTTAGAAATAGTGATTCCTATTGGTGATTCAATATAATTACATCATCCCAGCCTTGATAAGAAAATTTTATTAATGTTTCATAGACTATTGAAAATCAGCTTTTAGTTGTGTGCGTGAGTGTGCGCTGCATTGCTTTGCACACTCACTACTGCAAGATACGAGATATTCAGCTCAACTATAATGTCAGTGCAGCACTTGATGATGTTGCTTTTTCGTTAACTAACTTAACTTTGATCATAAATGGTGGTAAGAAAATTCTCAAACCATTGTTTTTTGCTGCAATTCTCCTATTGTGGTGATGGTGTAATGGTAAAAGTTCGGATTGATAAGCTCGAGGGCTTGACAAAGTTGTGTCTATTTCATCTTTAATTAGTATTTCAACACCCTGTTGTGGACAAAATATATACTAACGTGTAATACTTTTTTTCTTTTACTTTTTAATCTATGCAAATATCAAAACATTTTGAAATTACTTTGCAGAATATCTGCAAGATCTTGTGTTCAGTCTTGACAAAGTCGGTCAAGCACTAGAGAACAATGATCTCCCTGCAGCAGGTTTTATTCTGGGTCTGCCCAAAAATGATACAGATTGGATCAAGAATGTTAATGAAGCTTTCGCCAAGGTCATCCTTTTTTTGAAATATTTTTCATACATTGTTTGGTTGGTATATTGTTTATACAGCAGATTATCTTCAATGAATTTTCATTTTATATACCTTTTCAACAGCTGAGCTCTTCTCCTGAAGAGAAGATGCAGGTGGATATATTTAATTCCTCACTAGTATCTTTGATACAATCAGGTGCGTGTCACAAGTTTCACTGAATTAGTTTCTTTGCAATCAATTACATATTTTACACTAATCCGCTTAATACCGGAACACCTAATCTATACTCCTGTGTTTTGTAGTTGTTCGGAATGATGTTGAAGCCTCTAAAATAGCCTTTGTATCAACAGCCAGTGCATTCGAGAAATGGACGGCCTTAACCGGGCTGAATGAACAGCTCAAGGGGCTCTAAGGGAAAGAGATATTTTCATTACTTTAGGTTTTTTAATTTGTGTCAGAAGAAAATTTCATGCAATTTCGATTTTTTTTTTTTTTTTTTTTTTTTTGTGTGGATTATTTCATTTGATTATCCTCTGGCTTCAACTGGGTACAATGCCAGCATTTGAGTTGTATTCCTTTGCTCAGCTTGTTCGAGCTTCGGTTGTAATCTAAATTTTCTTGCCAAACAAAATTTTGATGTGATACTTGTTTATATTTTGAATGACCTGATTGTGCTGTTGTTGTGTAGCAACCAGTTAGCTCCGCAATTTGGCAGATACAGACTACATATTTCATATCCATTTCAATCTGGACCATCACATTTGGTCTCCATCAACTTAGTTCATTTCAATAATGGCCCTGTCTTAAACCTACCTTTCCAATGTTCTTGTTATCCATTTTCTCAATCAAACAGAGAAACCATAAATCTAGACAAAACCAATTGAAAGACATAGCTCTACCTGAAAGTGTCCAACATTTTATGTGGCATCCAATGACCAAAATACCTGAAAAGGACCTGTCTTGGTCGGACGAATTAAAGGAAGTCAAAGAATATGAGCGAGTCAGTAACTGAATACATAACTACTTATTACATACCAGTTTTAACACCATACTGTTACATAAATCTCTGCAAGCTATCAGTAACTGAATACATAACTACTTATTACATACCAGTTTTAACACCATACTGTTACATAAATATCTGCAAGCTACGAGTCCCTTCAGTGACACAGAGGCTGCGGACTTGGAGGCCTAATCTGTGATGAAAGTTTACCAATACATATCCCTTGAAGGCCTAACCTATGATTTTGCATACATAAGTTTCCACGAACAATAAGAATATTATCATAAACAACAATGATACTACAGTCATCCAAAAAAAAACCACAAACTATAAAGGTCAGGTGGTGGATAGAAGAAGTATTAAGTTAATTGATACAGTAACTCAAGGCTTGGCCTCGCCAGCCTGGTTGCCATAGCTGCCATTCTCGATCACTTCTCCCTTGTCCATCATGTTATTTTGTTCCAAATTGATCATGTTTACCACTTCTTTCTCTTTAGTTTCTCCCTTAGATCCAAAGACGCTACTTTTGTTTTTCTCCTCCTCTCCATCAACTTCATACTTCTTTTCCTCATCAGTACCTGTCTCCAGTTTGTCCTGTTTCTCGGAACCATTATCTCTGCCTTCCTCAATTGGTTTTTGTTCCGTGTTCTCTTGAACTTGTACATTCTCCATTTTCCCTTTATCATTTTGAGTTACTTCAGAACCATCAGCTACTTCCACAACCTGGATCTCTTTTGAATTTTCTGGTTCTGCTTCTGCATTCGTCTTGTGTTCTTCAGCATCATCAGTCATTTTAACATCTTGCGATGCCTTAATTTCTTCAGGAGGGGCATCTTCAACCTTAGTATCTGTATCTTGGGTTGCATCTTTATTTTCCTCTTGGTTTTCCTTCAGAACATCCTTCTCAATATTTGAAGCTGAATTATCCTTCTCAAATTTTCCTTCTACTTGCATAGGATCTTCTTTCACCGCCTCAGATTCTTCAGGGCCAACTTCTTTTTCTCCGTTATCCTTTGCAGCCTCAGTTTCTTCAGGAGCTACTTCTGTTTCCTTCACGGCCTCAGTTTCTTCAGGAGCTACTTCTTTTTCCTTCACGGACTCAGTTTTTTCTGCAGCAACTTCTTCCTTCATGGCCTCAGTTTCTTCAGGAGCTACTTCTTTTTCCTTCATGGCCTCAACTTTTTCAGGAGCAACTTCTTCCTTCATGGCCTCAGTTTTTTCAGGAGCAACTTCTTTTTCTTTGTTATCCTTCTTTGAACCTGAAAATGTCCTGCTTCGTTTCTTTGGGGGCTCATTTTCTGGTGGAGTAGTTGCCTTTGCCTTCTGACTAATCCTGGCCGATCTCCTTGGGGTCTCACCTGTTCCCCAATCAAACTCTGATATTGCTGGGCTGCCAGGGTGTGATTTTAAGTACTGTTCCAACTGTCTTCTGTTAGTGATCTCCTCCCCTGTTGGGGCAGTGAATATGATCTCATTCTTTTTAGGAGTCCCACCTTTTTTGGGCATGAACTGCAGAAAAAGATAAAGTTTTGTGTAACACAACTGATTCCTCTGGAAAAGAAGAACAAAATATCCAGAGAGCATACAAAGTTTGGCATTTCTTAAAAAAATGTGAGTGGAAGATCGAAACTAAGAAAAAGTAACAAAGTGGCATTAAATACCCTGATAACTAGATCAAATAAAAAAGAGGGCATAAAAATGTAAAGAATATAGATAAATCCTGCCTATTGAGAAAATATCTAAAGCCAGTGTTGTGCTATTAAGAGAGGGAAAAAAAAAAAACCCTTAGGTATCCTGCTTCATATCAACATGAGATGATGATCAAGATCTGGACTTCATCATTTATAGAGAATTTTTCTTCTTCCATTCGTTAAAAAAGAAATACTCATGACCTTCCCTCCGAAAGAATTCATTACAACCAGCTGACCGAGATAATTATGGTTTCAAAGGATTAGGAGGAAACCAAGGAACAGGGTGTAAGCCTTACATTTGATTCTAAAGGGAAAATGGGTGACAAGCAAGTTTCATTGACGAACCACCAAAATTTTCAGCATTTCTGCATTCAACTGCACTTGATGCCAGTTCAAACCTCTTTACTTTTGTTTTAAAAGAAAACCACTTTTAACCAGTTATTCTTTATAGTTTATTAATTTATTTGAACAATAGTCATTGCCAAATTTAGTTGTCAGAAGTTAGAAGTGGGCAACTGGGTCTGGGCATTACCTGCCAAAAAAGTTAGGCTGATTGAAAGTAAAATGAAGGGAACTTGATCGAATTGGCTTTGCTACAGACAACCTAAATCACTAATGGGTAGAAATGGAAAAGATATCTTTTATCCAAGTTCAAAATGCCAAAAAGTCAAGCAGAAGGCCGAAAAGAACTTTAGTTGTGGCTGTGAGTGAGAATATAATTTATCCAAGGAACTTACCAAGAAAATGGATCCGTGGAAATAGTTGGGATTAAGGTTTCTTGAGTTGAGTTGTGTAAAAGATCCTTGTTGATATAAAGCTCTGTTAGTTAAAATAGACCAAAACTGGATACAAGTATTCTCACCAAGTTCCACATGTCTTTTGACAAAAACCAACTTGTTCAGTGCATTATGCTGAATATACTTCTTGCATTCAACCAACAAATTGTAATATTCAGTGTTTCAGTAATAGAGGCACAAGGTTAGTTTTGAACTGAAATTTTTATAATCATCTTTCCCCAAGTTTGATGTACATCAGAGCCTTATATTTGGTCACAGACTGTTGCTTTGCCATTCCCATGGGTGTTCTGTTTTTCAATATACATAACTCTAAATCTTTTCGTTGACATTTGCACTTTCATGACCTTGTCTATAATTCCCAAGTCTTTCCAAATTTCTTTAATTTTTATGACCATGCTAAGTTTAGTCTCTAACTAGGTAGGAGAAGGGAGCCAATCATACTCTTCAGTGACAGAAGCCCAGAGGGAAGAACTGTGTTGCACTATTAGCCCGACAGTTTCCACTAGCCCAAGCCCAGTTTGTCCAAGCAAATCCCGTGTTCTTTTCAACACAAACAACCTAAACGATAGTTAGGATATCACCAAAGATCAAGGAAGTAGAAGTCCAGAAGACGATAAATCCAAGAAAGCACTATTCAACCAATCCTGTCTGAAGTCAACAAGCTTCCCTGCAAAATTCAATTGGTGTTGCAAAGGTAGTCGCAACTCTTTTCTTGCTCCTCATTGACAGTCAGGTTGGGTTCGACAATTTTCAAGGCAAAGCTCATGATCTGTGAAAGCAATGCAATGGACCAAACCAGCTTGCAAAATCGATCAACACTGCCAAACACTTGCAAAAAAGATAAACTATGGGAGCCCCCTCCCCTCAGGCATGTTTTCAAAGAAAAGGTAGGGACTTTGTTTCCTTTAGCCAACCACAGTAATATATCTTCTTCATAAATTATGTTTCATCATCAATTACAAAGCACAATTGTCAGTAAGGTTTCAGCTATAATTATTGAACCATGAAATTCTGTTCTACATGAGATATGTCCCTACGTAACTTCGAATAATCGGCCAGTACCTGAATTCATGTCTCCTTCTTCTTCCCATCCTTGTACAGCTCCAGCTCCAGCCAAACTTCTGAGGAAGCCTTGTCCCCAGTGGTTAGTGATAAGATACGTTGCAAATATACAAGTTTCTATGAATAAACTTATTTTCAGCAGTAGAATATAGGAAGTCAGATGAGGCACATCATATTCCCTCTTCAACTGACTTCTATTGGTATCTGGTGCTTAGATATCTGGGCTCCACCTTTTTTTTTTTTTGATGTGTTATTTTTTTCTGTGTGGGCGCGTGTGAGTGGGGGGAGGACCATTAACTGTTTCAGCAGTTTAACGCTCGAGCGAGTTCTAGTCTCGGTAACTTTGTGAAATATTAAAAGTCAGGTCTGTCTTGAGTCCTCACACCCAGGACCCTGCTGTAGTGAGACTAGAACTGGATAATGTCCCTTGTGTTGGTTTGGGGTGGGGTGGGGGGAATCCTTTACCTCGCTAATACTCAAAGGTTTGGGGGAATCAGAAATATATGATCTCTATGATCATGAGAGTTTCAAATATCAAAGTTGACAATCAACTCAACAGTTCACTGATATAAGTATGGTCCCCATCTCACAAAATATAATGCCAAATATCCTTCCCTCTTTTTCTCCTTAACCATGACTCTCTCATTATAATTTAACATACTTAAATCCAAAAACAGATATCACTTGGCCAGAGAAACAGATAGAAAAAAAGCACTGCAACTGAAGACGGGACCTTCTCCAATCCATTTGGAAGGAAATCCGTATTGGTCATCTATTCCAAGCAAGCTTATATATGCCACGTAGTTAATTTATTCCTAAGTCAGTAATATGGTCTCAAGGGTTTTACATCATAACAATGCTATGTCAGAAGCATGTATATCTGCAAATCATTCATATTTGCTTGGTTTAGTACATAACTAATATGTACTTTCTTTATGTATGTACTCTATTCAAATTATGTATACAAAGACACATTTCCTTTATCTACTTGCTCCTAAAACATCAAATCATTGACAGCATATCATCATTATCAATAGTTCCAATCATCACAGTCAATAGTTCTTATTGATTCTGTGCCTCGTCATATGTGACACGTAGATTTGCTAACATCTCCAGACTCCACTGTAAGACAGTGCCTTGGCATGACAAATGTGCCAACACCTCTTTCTTAGAATCTCCTATTGCCTAACTTTCTTCAAAACCTAGATATCTGATTTGATTTTTATCAAGGATTCTATGTATATGACCCACTCTTCCAATATCTTCAAAAAAAAAAAAAAAAAAGGTGACGTGCCACGTGCTCTACGTACTTATTCTAGGAGTACGCGTAGAGGATGATTATAAGTTTTAATTTAATTTTTAGAGATTCCATTTTCCCTATTTAAGGTTTTTATCTTTAGCACTGTTTGATTAGGGTATTAATTTAGTTACCTATATATATATATATATATATATATATATATATATAGGCTAGATACATAGGGTTGATTACTTTTTGATGATTATTGAGGTTGTTAAATTTAATAAATACAGAACTTGCTTCACCCTAATACTTCTTATTCTTGTCCACTCTTTTATGCTTCTCTCTCTTCTACTTTCTTTATTTCTTCTAGTTCTGCATCAGGTACACCCTTCAGAACTTCGTAAAATCTTGATCTCACCTCATTCAAAACTTCTTTTCCCTCTCATGCATCTGTATTTACATTTTCTATTGTTCTTCAACACAATCAGAACCTCAAATCCCAAGTCAAGTACTTTTCACTTCAAATCGGGGATTTGAAAGAAATGCCAACCCAGTTGACTCAAGCACAAATGAAACAACTAAGATGTCAACCTTGTAAATCAAAAGCTCTGATCTCCAACTCTATTGCTTTTATTACAAAAAATACACAATCTGAAAACTACAGGTATAGAATAACCAGTCCAATTTACTTGAGACTTGTACATATGTCACAATATATGAAAGATAGCACCATGGAAGCAAGAAACCAGAATACTGTTCACAATTGCGAAACTATATTTGGTTCAAGTTGACCAGGTTGATACAGATCTGGTCAACTCCAAACTATTCAAAACCAACTGTATGAATCTTATTTCTCCATTTTACTTTTACCGTGACCATGATTTTAATAAAACAATACACTAGCATGTATTTCCTTCTTGTTTCTCTCATTTTTTCTTCGATTTGGTGCTACTTCCAACTTAACACAAGTAAGTTCCTTTCTACTGTATTCTCTCATTTCTTGACACACATCCATCCATCATTTGCATTCTTTCGTTTTACAAACATATAAGGGTTGTTTGTGGGCAAGTCATGACTATAAACTAAAGAGAATAAGAGAATAATCATCTATGAATCTTAACAACAATTCATTAGGCTTTAGGATTGTAGGATTAAGCTACATCACATAAACACAATCTTCAATTCGTAAAAGCTCAATTTTTGAATGAACAGAAAGCTTATAGATTATAGGATGCTCTAATTCTATTAGGAGTCTTATTTAAATATATGACCTTACGGAACTTTGACTACTAAGACTACTCTAGACTCACTAAAGACCACCTATAAAGACAATAACATAATATGACCTTAATTAACACCCTTGAACCACTGCTACAGTCCATGTACGCAAAGACTGAAATTACTAAAGTATCAGCCAGTTTTAAAACATTAAAAGAGAAACATAAATAAAATTGAACCTGTCCAGCAAATACTGAAATTATTAAAGTATCAGCCAGTTTTAAAACATTAAAAGAGAAATAGAAATAAAATTCAACCACCAACATATCAACCTAAAATGAATAACAGAATACTCATTTAACCCTAAATTTCACATGCAGTCTCAAGCATGTCCCATGAAATGTTCAATCATTTGGCCATTTAAGCTCACTTTATACACTATCATTCTAACGTCTTCACAATTGCCCTCTTATAGGTGCATAAACTCCAAAAAGGAACCCTTTTTTCATTTTTCTCCATGATTTACACATGCCAGCATCAACAGGTGAAGCCTTATCTTAAAATTTCTCAAATTCATTTCTTCCCAACTTCTCTCAGTCAAAGAAAATGGACAGACTTGGACCAAATATAACACAAGTAAACCTTCAGATGACAAAGTTGAAGAATTGAGTTTCAAATTTGCCAATTCTGTTTTAACTTGTGTTTCTAATGCAGGATGCGTGCGAACAGCACTGGTCCACAAGCTCTACCAGTACTCACATGGGACAGCACTGTAAAACTATGAAGAGTTCTGCATAGAATTGAATATTTTGTGGGCTTAATTTATCAAAAGCTTGTTAGATTTATGTAGGGGCAAAAAATTTTAGGGTTTGTAAAATGGAAAGTGGTTGGAATTAGCTAGGTTTGTAGAACCACCTTTGCAATAATTGTAGTATCAGACAAAGGAAATTAAATAAGCAAATCAAATAAATTCTATTATCATAGATAAAATGCCCCTTAAGTATCAAGCAAAATGGCACATCACCATATACATAAAAATATATACACACACACACACACACAAACTAGTTTTCATTAGCGAGTCACCAATAACAGTTTATGAGAACAAAAAATAAAATAAGTTGAAAAGAATAACCACTATTGATATGTGGAACACGCTCAGAAAACCCTAGGAAAACCAGTATGCTTCAGAGTTTTTGTTTCTTTCATTTATTTTCTCTCTCTTTTCAATTTTAAATAGTAGGTAATAGGTAGTCCCAGAGAATTCAAAATGACAAAGCATTACCATTCGTAGTCCACCAGAATTATTAATTATCTCCCAAGCCCTAGCTTCAAAACCATCACTACGGAAACAAATTCTACCGCAGAATCACACAATTACATAAAATTAAGCAAAACCACACCTAATTCACACAAATATACATAATTTAAAGCACCGAAACAACGTGAATTCAACAGGTTGAAGGTATATAGAGAATACACGCTATATATAAATATATATAGAGAGAGAGAATATTAGAGAGCGAAACCTTCTTCTTCCAACCAGTAGGAGCAGGGAGTTCCAAGGAAACAACTTCATCTTTGGCACCGCTCAAGGTTTCCTTCTCAGCTGAGCTCGCCATTTCCACCTACCAATTTCGAAATCAAAACAACTTCAACCAACAAACACACAACGGGACCAAGCAACTGCTATTTAGTAATTATTTAAATATATATATATATATATATATATAGCTCTCTATTTCTACCTTTTCTCTATCTTTAAATTCTGTACAGAATACAGATTAGAAGAAGATATAGGAGAAAGTGTGTGTACAGACACTTCACGTCGTTGAATCACCGATTAGTTCTGAGCTTTTCTTTTCTTTTCTTTTTTTTTTATAATTATTATTTCTAACCGCTCGAAACCAACTCTACTCGCTCTTGGAGAAGACACCTGTCAGCGTTTGGATTACGGGTCAGTTCGGATGGTTCATATAGTTGACCCAACAACCTTTACATAATTATAACTATAAATTTTATTTAATGACCGAGCTATAAGATTTGCATGTGGCCAATTTCTATTATACGAGAGAAAAAAAAAATCCATAACTCAAAAAAAAAAAAAAATTTAAATTACTATTGAACCACGGTCGTAATAGTATGAACACTTCTCCCAAATAAAAAGTTAGGAGTTACATGGTTTGAAGTTGTAAAGATGGCCGGAAAACAAATTGAAAAGAACAAGAAGTTGAGAAGACTATTAAGAATTGATATTTTCATTGTTAAATTTGATTTAGGGGTAAAGTGATTTTTTTTTTTTTTTTGAACTATATTTGAATTTGTAAATAATTTATTTGAACTATATTTTGCGTATAATATCTTTTGAACTATCACATTTTATTGTAAAATGCCCTAATACTTAAATTATATTTCATTAAATGATATAAATGTTATTTTTTATTGAATTACACTTAATCTATTTTTCTTATTGAAATAGATTATGAAAAAATATATACACTAATTTGATGACATATTCTCCATTAAGTTAGCATAAATCTACCTTTAATTTTTAAAATTAATTGTTTAAATATATAAAAATCTTAAGTAAATTTTTTTAAAATAATTTAATTAGTTTCTTAATTTTTCATGAATATATTACATAAAAAAAGATATTTTTTTATTTAAGTAATTTATTAATTTATCATCAGTATATTGTAAGAAAAAGAAAGTACAATGCATTTTTGTATAGTAAAAAAGTTTAAATTGGGTATGATAAAACTTTAATGATAAGTTAATCATTTTAGAAAAAATTAGTTACAATTTTTTTTTATTTATTTTTAATCATAATTTGATACTAATAATAAAATTAATAAAAATAGTATAATTAATATTTAGATAAGATAAAAGATAATAAGAATAATTTAATAAAAAAATGACAAATTTAATGAGAAGGGCAAAATAGTCTTTTTTGTGGGGTAGGTTTTTTGTCCTTTACCTTCGATCTTATTAAGTTTTTTTTAGGTCATTTAAGTTGAAAATTTCATTATTTACTCTGATTATATCTATGTAGAGTATTCGAATAATGAATTGAATGTTAGTGTTATTTTTTCAAAACTTAATCGTTGTAATGCTCAAATTGACATAATTTGAATTTGGTAACTAAATAATTTTGTGCTGGGTTTGATACAGTACATGCTTTAATGACTTAAAAAGCAAAGCATAATTTCTTTTCACAGATATACAAAGAACAGAGGATCTCCATCTCGCTCGCTTTGGTTAAGGTTTGACTGAGATGAAATTGGGCCTCCAATGCACATTCAATCCTCATATTGTATTTGACAATTATAATGATCTATATATATATATATATATATATTCACACACACACTACTGTTACAACTGAAGCAAATGAAGCAATCCTCGTAGGGTTTAAATAGTTTATAAATAGTTTGGGAGCCACTAAAAGCTTGATTTCATTCTATTCTTAATTAAATGACAAGTTGAGAAATCAAGTTTGTGAACAACAGCAAGTAGCAACTCCATGTTTTAGGGCTTAACATGTTTCAATTGTGGGTTTGCTTTTTAGAGATATGAGAGACAGGCTTGGGCTTGGGCTTGGGCTTGGGCTTGGGCTAATGAGCTTTATAACCTTTAATTGTGAGAAGGGCTTGATAGGCCTTACTTTAAAACATAGGTAGATTTGGGCTAGGCATATACTACATATTCTCATAAGCACTTTTAACACACAAAAGATAGTAGCCCAAGTCCATTATTGAGTTGCAAACTTGCAGTGTATATGTTTCAGGATTAAAACCATCAAATTGTGCTCATGAATTATATATATATGAGTGTGTTTAATTATGATGCAAATTATAATGCATTGCTGGCTAGGTGTAATAAGGGGAGTTTGTCGCGAATCTTAATGGGAGAGTGATTGGATATATATGGGTTGTGTGTTAACCCCACCTTATAGCTTAAGGTTTTTGGGTTGGATAATGAAACACCCACTCATTATAATTG